TGTTTTATAATAATTCAAGTATGTCTCATAAATTTATGAAAAACTATATAACAAAAGAAATATTTTCTATAAATATATGATTCATTAATAGATTATATTTTTAATACTCATGTTTATTGATGAGACAGTAAATATTCATGTAGTGATAATTTTTAGAAGATATTTAAAAATTATGAAATAATATTTATTATCACGAAATAATTTGTACATCCTACTTTTTATATTACCTTTTTTCCTTTCACGTTTATAATAAAAATCACTTAATTTTATAGGCACAATTGTTTTGAAGTACTTATATAGGTACAATTTTTTTAAGAAAAAAAGTATGTTTTCAGAAAATAATGAACTAATACGGAATATTATGTAATATTCAGTAAATCTCTCTGACTAAATTTAATTGTATATTAAAATATTAATTAATTGTAACATAAAATAAAAATAATTTTTGCTGTTAATTGTTAAAACAAAAATGTATGCTATTATTTATCAATTTGTAGCAATAGCTATAAATTTCCCAATTGCGCCTGCATGAGGCAACACATTCTACTCCTCGCAAATGTGAGGAGTATCTGCTTGTATTTGTAATTTTTTTCAAAGATTCTTCTACTTGAAAGTTTACTTTTTATACTTATTGTACTTATATGCTATTTAACTTTTCACATATTACATAGTGTTAATAAAGTGTTATAATAAGATGATTAGAAATAATTTAAAAATGAAAATACTGCAAAGTTTACAATATTTTTCATTCGATTATTATTATAGACGTATTATTTTTTAAAATTATCTAAAAAAAATAACATTTATTATCAGTTTCTAATTGTGTTATTGATGAATGTAATTAACGTTATAAGTTTTAGTATATTTTATTATATGATCTTATAATATTTATCTTTTTACAAAAAGAAATTGATATTTCTATTAAAGAAAATAAACATTTTATGCTACTACATAAATTTGAAATTTTAAAAACCCAAATGTGTGTATAAATTACATATACGTTGAAAAAATTTGAATAGATATTTTGCTTCAAATTTTTATATTTTATGTACATTATAGACCTTTTTAAGTTACTTTCTCCGTCATTATTTTTAATTTTACATAATTACACATTATATATTTAGATAAAATACTGAAGTTTTAAGTGAAATATGTAATGCAAATTCGATAGTTGTTTAAATTCTATAAATATTTAAATTTGGATTTCATTTAAAAAATTTAGTATAAATTAAAGCAATAAATTTCTATATTATTTTAGTAATATAGCATTTCCCGAAATACCTTCCAAGTTTATAATTATGAAAAAATTTTCAATTTATATTTTACGATAATAATTATGTAAGAGAGAAGTATATATCTTTGTATATATTTTAATATTTTATTATTTCAATTATTTCTATTAATTTATATTTTGTTATTAAAATTTATATGCATTTAAAGAAAAAGGTTTATGAATGTATTAGAATATTTTACTTAGTAATATTATTTTACTTACTAATACGAAATGAATTTAAAAATAACTCGTTTCGGTTACTATCACTTAATAATAAATTACTTTTATTACTCATATTTTTTACAACTTATATAAATCTAAAGTAAAACTGAAAAGTGATAGACTTTCATATTATTATTAGTACATAATTATATTATATGAAAAACATAAATTGTTTTAAATATACTAAATAAACTCGATAATTATGTATACTAAATAATATTAAAAAATGTATACTAAACATTAGAAAATAAGTATTTTCTAATAATATCAATACCGTCCCTTTTTATTAAATATTGTATTGAAATTTCACTTCAAAAAATTTACTTTCACTACTTCATTTTCTATTTTAAGACAGCATATACCTGCATAGATCAATGATTTTTACTTTAATTGAATATAGGAAGGAATTGACGAGTTTCTAACAGTATATTCTAAGTTCACGCGTTAAATGAGTAAATAGAAAGAGAACCTGTGGCCATGTATTTTTTATGTTAATGTGCATTCTATTCTAAAGATAATTAAAATGAATGTTCAATAACTTTATGTCCTATACTAATAATTTCTTCAATACTATAACATTGAACGTATTGTTATTTGAAGACGAATAGTTATAGTAATTATATATTTTCTTTAAGAACTTGTATATACAAGTGTCGATTTGCTAATAAAATATATTGGGCTCATAAATAGAGAGAGAGAGAGAGAGAGAGAGAGAGAGAGAGAGAGAGAGAGAGAGAGAGATCTATTCAAGTAAAAGAAAAGGAATTCAAATATATTCTTTAAGAAAAATTAAGTAAGACTATTTATTATATTCAATACTATAAGGCTTTAAATTAAATTTAAGTCATTTGACATAATATAAGTATTCATAATATAGATATTCTTTAATTCTTCAATTAACATCTATATATTATTTGCTATTTTTGAATTTTTAATATAATTTTTAATAATTATAGAACATCAGTTTCAATATTAATAATATTTTAATCCTTTGGAATACGTATTTAGTACTTAAGATATCATTGAAACAAGTAACAAAGTATATAATCAGCATTGACTTGTGATTATCATAAATCGTTGTTAACAATTCTAAAACTTGTGCAGGGAAGTTAAGAGAAAATGGAGTGAATATAAAGATTCGTATATGATAAACAGAAATATTGTGAGTAGAAAATTACAAGGATACTTTTTAAATTACCTGGAAAGCAAATATACGCGAATTGGATAGACTCAGAAACGAAATTTCAGAAAAAAGAGACAATATTAGCCTTCCTGTGGTTAAATATGTAATATTAATATGCCACAAATGTATGCATTGCATTTGATATCTGATCATCTAAGTCGATACATATCTTCCAATAAACACCAACTAAAAAAGGCGAAAAGTCTTCATTAAAATGTTTGTTTATTAAGATTTGTTGTTACATTTATTTCATTATCTTGATTTCTTCTAATTTTTTATCCTAATTTTTAAGTGAGTAAATTAGTAAATAAATTGAGTAAATAAAAAAAGACGATTATCGTGACAATCATATTGAATAATAAATGAAAGCAAAAATTCCAGATATTTGATATTTCCTTTTAATTTATTATTTATATCATATTTTTCTAAAAACCATACTCTTTAAAAAATTCTTATTAATCCCTTCTATGGACGACAGTGCACAGGATTGATTAGAAGATACTGCATAGTGTACGCTGGTTTGATCGCATGATTAGATCCATTATATTTCATTAAATATTAAACGTATATTTTTATCGAAAGAAATTATTAAATTGTAATATATATTACAAGATATTATTAAATATTACCGAATGTTTAAATAAAAATTTTCATATGAAACGATATTAAGTGATTCGCATAACTTAATAGATATACTTGTTATCTTAGTACACTTACAGTAGAGTCAATTATAAAATATTTGTTTCAAATTTTCTTTAAGTAGGTTCCTTGCTTAAAAGTTTTGAAACTATTGTTATTAAATAATTCAACTTATGAATGAAAAATTTGATATAATAATTTGTTCAAAGCTTGCGTGAAAATAAACTCTTTCATTTTTATACATTATGTTTCATTTATTACGAGAGGAAGAGAGAGAGAGAGAGAGAGAGAGAGAGAGAGAGAGAGAGAGAGAGGGAGGGAGAGAGGGAGATAAGACGATTGATAAAAAAATCTTATTACTAACACTGATCTATATCTTCTGTCAAGTGACCAATTAATCTCGATAATAGTCTTTTTAAACATTATTATTATTATTGTTATTTAATTTTTATTTTAAAAACTGTTATTTCAAGTATCTATATCTGTGACTTTTCATAATAAATTTAGATCTTTATAAAAAAATCTTTCCAATATAAGTATGATCTTATATTAAATATTCAATTAAAAATTTAGGAAGACATTATCCAATACAAAACATTCATAATTTTATAATTTAATCATGAGTCCGATCATCTACTAAAATAGACATGAGAAAGTTAAAATAATATTCAAGTAACATTAAAAATTGCTGGTCTGCCTTTTTCTTTTTTATAGAATTCAAATATAAAATCTAATTTAAAATTCTGAAATATAAAACTTGTAATATAAATTAAAAACACTTTCTTTAAGTACGTGTCAATTTCGTGTAAATAAATTAATAAAACTATATTAAATAAAAAGATTTTTTGTTTTATTTTTCTCCTTCTTTACTTTCTATTCCTTGGTATAATTATTTTTTAATTAAAAATATTTAAGATTCTTTTATTCAAATAGTTTCAAGAGTTAAATAAATAGTATTGTTAAAAACGTATCAAATAAATTAAGATAGAAAGGAATACTCTTATACTTGTTAAATTCTACTAATGAATTACATAAAACTAAGTACTGCTATTAAAATAAAGACATTTGATATTTCAAACTTATGTTTTATTAATTTATGAAATTAATAGATTAACTTTACGTTAAAACTTGTTTTCGTGTTTATAAAAAATGTAAATTTTATTTGATAAGTGAATTTTTTTTTGGCATTTCAATAAAAGCTATGCATTGACATTTAAACTTAAAATCCGCATGAAAAATTATATGATCAGTTTATTAAAAGTATGTACAGACAATAAATCATTGTACATTATGAGTTTATGACTTCAAAATTTATATTAATATTGCACTGAGAATATTCTATAGGTCTTTAAGCATCTAAATTAAAATTTCAGAAATCTTTTTAATAGAACATCCTTTTTATTAATAAAGAATTAAAAAATATTTGAAAACACAAATATTTAAGAAAATCCTATTTAAAAAATTCCTTCGAAAATATAGAATATTAGTTATATATAATTCATCAATACATGAAAGTGTAATGTAAAGTTAAATAAATCCCTTTATTATAGCATAGTACAAAATCGAATATAATCAAATATTTAATTAACTTACAAGTTGGATATTTTTTAATACATCAGTCAGCATAACATTAATGAAAAAAAAAATTCTTGAGCCATATAATTCATTTATTTTCTATTTTACATTTTCCAACATATTGAACTTCAACGTCTGAAAGCAAATAAATTATTTAAAGTTAGTTGAATCAATCATAATATTAATATTAATCTTTATGGTACTATTATAATTTCTCACTTGTATTAGAACATTCATTTATGCATTCTAATGAACCCTTGCTATCATAAGTAATTCCATCTGTTCCACAAACTGGCATCCATTCCATCGTGGTTAAACACATGCAAGGATTAACATCATTCGTAGATTTATTGGAATCTACTCTTACCGCAATTAAAACTATTAAAATAGCTGAAACAATGTTTAAAATATTCGTAGTAATATGGAAAGTATTAGTTTTTATTTGTACTAAGAGAAATAATATTTTAAATACAATAATCGTAACTTTGTAAAAATATTTTTATTTAAAAGTGGTTATTTAAAAGTAATATTAGTCTTGAACTAATTTTATATTAATTTAATTTTATTGAATTTAATAGAAAGATTTCTAAAATATTTACATTTAAAGATACATATAAAATATAAATTATCATATTATTTCATACAGAATATAATATTAAAGCTAAAACTGTGAATCACAATAATTTTATAGTTTTACAAATGAAAATTAAATAAGTGAATTTTATATTATCATTTTCGATTTTATATTAAAAAACTATTTCAACCGGTAATTATTCAAACCGTTAATTGAAATAATTTGTATTAATTAATATAAATCATAATATAAAATATTTTATTATTTTCTTATGTAAAAATTTATCTTTTCAGATTTTTTAAAATTTAGAACAGTCTTCAATTACAGTAAATAATAATGTGATATAAAATAATATAAAAGATGATAATATAAAAAAAATGACATACCTTTTAGGATAATAAAGATACTTAGTTTAGACATTTCTAATAACTATTAAGACCGTTAATTAATAATTATTATTATTTCGAGTTTTTCTCTTGCGACTAGCTGTTTCTTTCAGACTTGTAAATTAAATAAATAGCTTTACTACTTAAATAGCTTTAAAATAAATCCCGCTGTTGTAAATTATGTTGCCATATCACCACTTTACCTTGTTTATCATTTATAATTATCATTCAATGCAGAACATTTAATTTTTTTTCTAGTATGAAATCAGTATACATTCTTTATTTATAAATTATTTCTTTTCTTATATATATATATATATATATATATATATATATATAGGGAATTAATTATCTTAAATAAAATGAAAGCATTAATAATTTAATAAAATTATGTAAATTACATACAATTATATTGTGCTTGAATATTTAATAAGTAGTTTAATATGTACATATAATTTCTAATGAGATCGAATTCAATTCACAATATATTACTTTTTATTATTGTATTTTTTTAATACAATAATAATACAGCTAATAGTGAAACTAGTTTTTAAATTATACCATTCTAGTCACGTCGTTTGAGTACACATAAATTCAAATGATAAGCAGCCGGAGTAACTTTTGAATATTTTTAGATAGAAATTAAATTTAATTGAAAAATTAGTATTGCTTAATAAAATATTATAAATCATTATTGTATAATTTTTAAGAAACATGCACTAAGATATATATTGAACTAAATTTAATTATATTTCAATTCCGTAATAAATTAATTAAATTATTTTTTTGAACATATAATATTGAATATTTTTTATTTTTCATATAACTTTATAATATAAATTATTTTATGAAATAAATTGTTTAATTCTTTAATGTTGATACCGTGAATTTTTTTTAAACGATGACTCTTAACGATAATTTTAAATATTATCAAGAGATTGTGTAATCAATATTTTTATTGTTTCAAAAGATCAATAAAAAAATAATAGTATTTGATGATAATATTAACATTTTTCTTTTCTTTTTATTATTTTATGAAAATCAAATATATCAATATAATTTTAAACATTTATTCAGTTTTATATTTTATATTTTATATTCAATTTTATAAATAAGTTTAAAGGAATGAAAAATTATTTATATCTTATGCTTAATGTATGAAAAGATATTTTAATCCATAGAAAATAATAAAAGTTTTAGTTTTAATTGCACAGTATAAGATGCAAATACTTTACTACTATTGCAAAATATAGTATTTTTACCTTATTTATCAACGAGAACGATAATCTCAAACGTTTCTTGTCTTTATTAATTTTAATTTAAAAAATAACCTAAAAATAAACATTCCTGTCAGTGTTTGACTCTTACGTGCATAGAATATTTATAGCTTTTTTTTACAAAGATAATATTATCAATAAACGGAACTGCATTGACCTCTACTTTTCTGGCTTTCGCCTAACACAGTAACTCTTCGTAGTATCTTTTAATAGATAATTAAGCCTTAAATTCTGGAAATTTTTATAAATTTATATTCTTATTTATTATCTATTTGTACCTTATTGATAAATTAAAAATATACCGTACAATTTTTCATTTTAATTAAATTTATATTAATATTTATAAATAATACATTATTTTATTATTTTTTATCAAATTATGTGCAGAATAGGATAAATATGTATATATATTTAGTTTCTATGTATAGACAAATATATTTTCTTTTATAAAATTTGCTTAATAAATGACTTTTATAACTTCTATATTTTTATTATGTAAATTCGTCTTTGCCAGTTTTAATATGTTATTAATGTAGTAAAAAGAGAAGACAATATGTTAAATTAATGCAATATAATAGTATGGCTTATATATAGTATATCATATGAAATGTGGAAGAATTCTCATATATATTAATAATATTTAAAACTTATTAAAATATATAAGCGTAAAGAAGATAAGTCTTACCGAACATATAACAATGCACCGAATTTCTAAATATTTGTGAATACATGGTTAGTTTTTGTTATTATTTTTGGTATTAAAATATTTTAACTATTAAACAGGTAAATTTAATTTGTATTAATAAAAAATAAATAATTTTTAAAAAACAATTTATTTATTAATATTGAAAAAACTTCTATTCAAATTTTACACTATAGAAATAATTAAAGTGATTCCTTTATATTTTATAAGACATTGTATATGATAATTTGTAATTTATAAGTGTATAATTATAATGAATATCAATTTGTATGTAGACAGAAGTCTTTATGATAAATTTCTTAGAAAGTCAATGTCAATTGTATTGTAAAAATATAGTTGAACTAGAATGATTATAATTTTTATAACATTTTTTATTATTCTTAATGTTATATTAAATTTAATATTAGCATTCAGTTTATAGATGAAGTACTATTTCAATTGTAATGAATCAACATTCTCAATGTATATTTAGACGATAAATCATACATATAGTTTATGTAAAGTTATTTTCTTTTTAAAGCTTGATGTTTGATTGGATTTGTATTATAAAAAAATAACTTGAATAATATTTTAATAAACAAATTATATATAAGTAGCGTAAATATGCAATATATGTTTGAAAAAATTATAATTTGTATTTATAAATTAGAAATTTCTTACGTAAATTCGTGGAATTCACGGTAATTCTTATATATATTTTTTAATGTATTTTAATCACAGAGAAGAAAAGAAAATGATTATGCATTCACTAATAAATTTGAAATTATATATGTTTTATATAATAAATGAAGGTATATTATTAATACTTTATTGAGACAATTATACTAAAATTTTGAACTTATTTATATATAATTACTGATACTAATCTACTAATCTATTTACATTTTTTTATTTATTATATATAAAAACATTGTGGTAAATATATAGAGATTGAAGGTCAAAGATTCGATGGTCGATTAATAACAGTTATCGCTATTAAGCTATTTTCTATATTCAGCAACGTCAGTAACATCTTTTTATACTTCAATGAGATAATATCAGATAAAGAAAACAACGGTTTTACGCAGTCTGGCTGTTGGAAATTCGATCAAAGAAATTCTGTTACGTTCACTCTTTTCAAGTTCTATTTTTAGAAGAAATCACAATTTCAATCTGTTATTTTGATTGGAGTGAGTCACGAGACATCTATTCATGAAAATTCACACGGTGAAAATAGATACGATTATTTGTATTTCTTCGATATTGGATGGTACCGAAGAGCAATTGACTCCAAATCAATGTGGGTTTATTAGGATATATCGTTTAGTTTAAAAAACCAGATGACAGATTCAAGCATTTTTCATAAATAGTCTGATAAACCTTCTAGATGTGCCTGCAACATTAGTTATAATATTAACCATATTATTTATTTTTAAATATCATATAAGACTCATGAAAGTTTTATTATTTCTCATTGCTTTTTATTATTTAGATAACATTATTTAATTTTTTTTTATAATTCATAGTCTAAAATAATAGTATATTGAAAATATAAAAATATGATGAATATACGAATAGATAATTTCTAAAGTTTTGAATAAATTCGTAATAAATTCATAATTCATAAATAATTAAATAAAAATTAAATAATAACTATATAAAAATTAATTAAAAATTAAATAATAACGATATAAAAATTAAATAAAAAATTTATAATATTATCGAAAAATTAAATAAAAAGGATATAATATTATCTAAAAACTCAATAAAAATTAAATAATAATTATCTGTAAGTAAAATAAAAATTATATAATAATTATTTATGATTTTACGCTGCAAATTTTATATTTATTATTAACAGCTATCGATAAATCACAATAATTCATTTAATTTATTGAAAACGCATTTTAAAAATGTAACCCACTTAAAGCCTTTGTGGCATACAATAAAATTTGTTTAACGCTTAAAAAAGAACTTGATACATACAATTTCAAAAAAAGTATTTGAATAAATCATTGCGAATAGAGTATTAAGGCTTGCCTGGTTAAAAATAACATCAGTTGACATCGAGTGATTAAATAAAGCAGAAATGCGTTGTTTAATAAAGATTTCCGTGTGTTTATGAAATAAATTATAAGTATTTATTATTATTTCATTTCTAATTTATATGTTGTAAATATTATTTTTTATTTCGAGATATTAAAATTTTACATTGAAATTATAAATAAATATATTTATTAATTAGTCTACTTTTATGACAAAGTTTTTAATAATAATATTTTAATATCAGTGGATGACTTAAATAATTAAAATATTAATTAAATATTAATGGAAGTATCAATTTAATGACATGGTTCCATCAATGTTATAGTTATATCTCTAAAATATGCTTTCATTCAAAAGATTATAATGTATAGTTAAATTTATTAACTGACATTTTCTAAGAGGTAATAAATATGGAAAATAATCGTACATAATTTTTAGCAAATATTACACATTACCATACAGTCTTGAATAAATATTTACACGATCTGTATCAAGATTCCTATGGAACGACCATTCATAAATACACGAATCAATTTATTTTACTAATGAGGGGAGCTGTAAATGCCATCGACCTAGTCGACTCGAATATGTTTATCCCCAAACGTCCTTCCTTGAGGATCATCTTTTTAAAACTCATCTATATCGGATATTTACACAGTAGAAAGTAAGTTACGAGTGAATGTAAAAGTCGAGCAGGCATCATGTTAAGCCTTCGTTGGGTGGCGCGTCGAAATGTTATATTTATAGGTACCATACGTATTTAAAAATAATAAGTCAAAAATGTAAAAAATAAAATAAAAAAAGAAATGAACAACGAACTATTTTATTATTTTTATTTACAAATAAAATAAGATGTATACTAAAAAAAGATTTTTAATAAAAAAAAAAATATATATATTTCTGATAGTATATATAAAAATGGTATAAAGATCAGATCCAAATACTTTCTATACTTTGTATTCTTTTTATTTTTATATAAATTACGTATTAATATCTTATAATTTTCGCAATGTCGAATACTAATGTAAAAAAATATAATAGTATAAATATTTAAATTTGCTCTACATAATCGTCGAAAGGTTAACTTAATAGTTGAAGATTATTAAATTTATTTAAACGTACGAATAAGAACGTAATAAAAATATAGACACTTTTTAAATCTAAATTATACAATAATTTATATAAAATTATCTTGTAGTAATGTAAGTGTAATGAAATTATAATGTAATGTAAATGTAATGAT